GTAAAAANAAAAAATAATACATACATATATATATATATATATATATATATATATATATATATATATATGAGAAAAAGGAATACTTTCAACATAATTTATTGGAAATTTATCATTTCGAATTAAAGATTCGACTCACTTTTATGTGTAAATTGACGTGTAAAATCGGATTAAAATCTGATATCACACCTAATGTACATTCGAAGAGAGTATCAAACGCTTGGTTTTCATATTTTATACTAAATTTCCTAAAATGTGCATTTGAAATAGTGCATAAATGAAAATAAACAAGGATGTTCTCGATACGGTTTTTGGCATAATTTCCAGAAAGGAAAAAAAAAGTTTGTCATGCTTTTCCAGTTACACGTTTACCTTTTAGCAAAACGTTGTGATGTTTGTAACGATAAGAAATAAACTTTGATTTTCGGAGAAATTGTATTTGAAAAAAATCTAAGATGGTAATTATTTCACAGGTAAAAATTGAATTTATAAAAATGAAAAAATGGATGGTTTTATGGTAATCAATTGCGGAAAATTTCTATTAGAATGGGAAAATGACGCTATTTCTGCTGTAATAATTGAAATTTTTCTTTGTTAGCAACCGACGAATGGACGAGTGGCGATGACAATGATTCTAGTGCTGGAATGGATACTGAGGATGAAGCCGGAGTTGCTGATTGGACCGATTTTGGTTCATTTGATGTAAATCTTCTGTTCTATTTTTTTTGTCACGGCCGTTAAGATGAACTTCGACCATTTTCGAGCGAAGTTTTTTTTCCTAAACATAGTACTTTCGGTTTTTCATTTGGTTCAAGTTTCATTATTTATGCTGAATTTAAGATTGACATTAACAGTCTTCCACTATTTATGCTGAATTTAAGGTTGACACTGACGATCAACGTCCTGCTCTCATCCGGAAAGAAAGTAAAGATTTCAAAAAAAGTGCCAAGAATTCGAAATGGTTGCAAGGATCGCTAATTTCAGCTGTAGGTAGGTGCAAAAACAATATAAGAAAATGAACAAACATATTTTTCTTTCCAATTAAATTACAAAATTTCTGTAATTTTCAAGAAATTATTGCTCACTTGTCACCACTGGGAATTGGTGTGATTTTCTGCTTTCATATTCTCTGAAGAAGTTTAATTAGAGTTCGGTTACGATGAGTATTAGATTAATTTATGCTTCTTCATTGGATCATCATACCACCATACATTCCTCAAAACCTCATTTTATCTAATAGATTAACCTTTATTTTAAATACAGTTATTTACAGGAAATATGGATTTAATAGTTTTTGCTCATGCGCAAAGGGTAGTTTCAGTTGAGAGAAATCCTTCAGATAACACTTTTCAAATTATTTCACAGTTCAACACGGCTGATTCATCTTGGTCTCCTCCGGTATACTAATTTAAATCTTATATATGAAGTTTAACATTGTACAAAATCAATTTGTTTCTCGATTTTTATCCATGAGTTCAATGTTTCCACTGAATACAACTGAAAACATTGACTTATTTTTTAAGGCCTATATTCGTTGTTTATGTGTACTGCCAATGAGTTGTACAAGGAAAACGGAAACGTCGTTATATGATTGGTCAGCGATTGTTGTTGGGATGAGCAATGGATATGTCCGATTTTTTACGGAAAAAGGCTTGCTGTTACGTTCGGATCACGTATCTGATAGGTGATTATTTAACATTTATGTCTAAAAAAAACTTGATGAACATGAAGGACATACAAGAAATGTATGGCGAATAAACAACAGCTTGTATTCCTTTAGAAGGCAAAAAATTATAAATATTCCTGAACTCGTAAATTTCCAGTAGTAAATAGTTCTGTGAATACTATGGCAAAATTCTAAGAATTTAAAGAATTCATGTGCTGATTTTTCTCCTTTCATCTTTGATAATAAGCCGTTGGTTTGCAGTCCCATCGAAGAAATTCGTCTTGGGAAATCAGTGATGGCTGGAAATCAAGAATTAGCGGTGATGTCACAAACCGATTTGACATGTATCGAAGGTCTTTCATTATACGTAGCGTTGAAGGCAGCGAAAAGTCAAGTATGATTTGAAAATTTTTCTCCACCACTTTCGTTACATTATATTTTTTTGCAGAAGGTCAAGTTCTCCATTTTATTTAACTCTCATATCATCAGTTCTATTTCGTTAGGTTCAGTTTAGCTGATAACTTTGTAATTTTCCAATTTGAATACGACAGCTCATATCATAGGTATCCCATTATCTTTTATTTCCCTAAAATTTATTTCATGTGATTTGCTGTCATTTGTCTGTCGATTGTCTTTGATTGTTCACCATTTAATTAATCATGCGAAACAAAAATAAAAGAAAAGGTAGAATTTTGAAGTGTTCATTTCCGATATTTTTGATAAAACGAATATTTTCTTTTCTCCAGCTTGCCTGTGGTGAGATGGATATTGAGAAAGTAGCAGCTAATGCGAAGTTAAATATTGAAAAGCTGAAGTTCGAATCTGGTATAAAAGTGGTTGATTTCGGTATTTCGGGTCCGTTGAAAGCAACTTGGTTCGATCTTCACAGTGCCGCAACACTTTCGCCTCAGGGTTATAAAGTAGGGACTGAAATATACTTAGTTATTTCGCCGGAAACATGGGACTTCCGATGTCATCCAGCGAGACGCATTTGTCGACACTAGAGCAATTTCTGATATTTTCTTTCGTGAGCCAGTAATTTCGTGATTTTAGAGGTAAAATTCTGCTGAATTTAGCTGCTACTATTTGTGTAGTTAGCTGGATTTTCTGAAATCACCGTTTTCGAAATTATTTCATTTAATAATTTAATGCAATCTCTTAATTGACGTCCGGTGTTCAGAATGAAGCGTTTGGTATATTTCGATAAATTTGGGACACTTTCAGGCCAAAATAGAACGATCATCACTTCCTCTTTATTCAACATATGTTTTTGTTGGACAGTCTCCCTACGTGGGCTTTGGTTGGCATACGCCAGGCGCTTCGCAGAATGTTTTAAGTGATGCTTTATTTGCTCTAGGAAATCAGGTATATAAAAGTGTGATTTTCTTCTAGAAAGAGGAAAATGGAGATAATTAAGAATTGAAGGGATTTATTATGAAACTATTTTTTTTTGCTTTCATGCAATTTTGAATTGACGATATTAAACTCTGGAAAGAGGTATATTTTAAGCTTACATCGTCTGTTGCATCAAGCATGCCATCGTTTGGTATACGTTCATTTCTGGGTATAGGCACATCCCGGAAAGATCGTCAACCGATTGTCGAAATTAAACCCAGTGCTGTGATACCAATGCGTTCGTCTATTGTTGATGGCAAGCGCGAAGGTGAACGCATATATATGGCACCAGCAAAGTATAAACTTGCTGCAGTTACAGATTCATTAGCTCGTGTGGCCTTAATTGATGTTAGTGATGTTGATTATCAGTAAACTGTTCATAAAACTTTCATATATACATATATGTATATATACATATGTATGTATACACATATGTATATGTATATACATATATACATATATATATATATATATATATATATATATATATATATATATATATATATATATATATATATATATATATATATATATATATATATATATATATA